GTAAAGTGTAAACACTATGTGGGCTATAACTTGCAAGTTTGTAACTTCTAAGCACAAATTAAATAAAAATATGAGCTTGGGAATATAGGTTAAAAATGAAGTGATCAAGTAAACAACATAAAAAACTCAAAATTACAGCTTCTAAATGTGTGGAAACGAAATGACATCATATCATATAATCATAAATCTTCACATGAGCACCACGGTTAAAAAAATCGTACCGGTGAACATAAAAAACCGTACCATATGTTTGACTCGGTTTAAAACCGACACCGAACCGGTACAAACCGAAACCGCACTCAAAAACCGCAAAACCGAACCATTGAAAAACCGCACCCAACGGTTTCTAGAATTCAAAAACCGCACCTTGTGGTTTGCGGTTCGATTTGGACTTAAAACCGCACCAAACCGCACCATACTCACCCCTGTTTGATACCTTAATATTTAAAATTTCACTCTTCCAAAAATATCATATATATTCTCTTTAAAAACTTTGTTTCAATAGTATGATTTAAAATTACGAAGATATGTACATTGTAAAACTTGAGGCTATAGAAAACTAACACATGTCATTTAATAAATTTGAAAACGTACGAATTCTAAATTTGATTGACACGCAAAATTTCATATGGCCACCTAATTGTACGATCCCATATTTACATAACACGTATCCTCTTAATTAATTGTTATAATAATTGAAATCATACAAATTCATTTAATTTCGTTCTTATTCATCTCATTTAAACTACATTATAATTATAGTCTTTCATCTCTTTCTTCTTCAACACAATATATCATTTAAACTACATTATAATTATAGTCCTTCATCTCTTTCTTCTTCAACACAATATATCCTTCATATCCTTCATGTTACACTAATATTTCCTTAACTATATTCTATTAAAAACAACATACCCTTTATAACAAAAGAGGTCCTGAAATCACCAACAATTGAAAAGTATATTTTCTGTATGTCGTCTTTGAAAAATATGTTAATAAATTCGACTTTGCGTTATATATAAATACTCAATGTATACATATATTATTTTTCGACGTACCTAATTTAATAATCGATAATTAATGTCGTAAAATATACCTAGACAATTGGTTTTGAAAAATAGGTGTTACGATATATTTCAACGTTCATAAAAAATAAGAGAACGAAGGGTTTAGATCATTAATCTATTCACAATATTATAAATTTATGACGTGAATAACAATTTATAAATAAATAGTACTACACGAAATATGCGGGTGTCACATATTAGTTTATGATGGTAGCATTGGTGGCTCTAATATCATTAGTAGAGCAATGAAAATTCATAACTGACTCAGTGTCTGTACTGTTATATTTGAAGGATTATTACAGAAGAGTGATGGTAGTCTTTGTGATTGTAATATCATTACTGGATGAATTAGTAATTTATGTAATATTAATTACTATCAAGGGAAGTTACAAAAATTAATAGTAGCTAAGATGAGAGTAAGTCTTTTATGCCTTATGAGTAACTGGAATGTTTGATAGCATGGTTAGTGACATTGTAAGTCTATTGGGTAGCAGAATGTTGGTGTACCGTTAGTGTACGTATATGTGCTAGAATAAAGTAGTTTTGTTGATCGTAAGGTAATGTAATAAGGTTGTGTATATATCATTAATTGAATTATATCAAGAATGATATTGTATTGTAAGTTTATAGGACTGAAATTTATGGCAGTCTAGGTGATTGTAATCTTATTATTCGAGGAATGCAAGTCAATGGTGGATTTAGTATCTACAACACTATACATCTATATTATTTAGAAAGAATTAGTGGTATGCTCGCTGTTGTATTTACCACTTTATGAGAATCAGTTGTTAGTGGTATGCTTAGTGTTGTAGTTACCACTATTTATCTCTGATGCAAATAATGGTTATTATGGTATGATTAGTGCAGGAAATATCATTGTGATGGAATAATGTTAGTCATAATATTCTTGGTGACTGTAATATCATGGACTAATATTTGTGGTGGTCTTGGTGATTGTAACACCACAGTATTGAGAAAAATTATTAGTTGTGGTGTTGGAGACTGTAACACCATGATATTAAGAATAATTATTAGTGGTGGTCTTGGTGACTGTAACACCACAATATTGAGAATAGTTATTATTGGCTAGAATGGACTAGAGCATGCCATACTCCAAAAAGGTCAAGTCTTGGGACATAATGCTCATTAATCAAGGACTTAGTAAGATCTAATGAAATACAAGTCAAGTTTGCAACTTTATACCTCTTCGAGGTTGCTAGAGAGGTGAAGATCCCAGATCCAAGGCTCCTTCAAGATTCCAAGGTGATTCTACTTCCTTCTTACTCCTTCAAGATCACCAAACACACACACACATACAAGGGTCAAGAATGCTCAAACAAGTGGATAGGGTTTGCTAAAATCGATTGGAGGTGTTGGAGGCTAATGAGAGATGAGGTTGGAGTCCAAACCCTAAAAATTAAGGTTTGAGGATCTTTCACGTATGCTATGCGTACTCGGTGTATGTCCAACATACTTAGACCGACGCATGTACGTTCCGCGTACACAACGTACGCCCAACGTACTAAGCCTCAACCTGGAATTTACAAAAATGCCACTATGGGCCATTTTGCTAACTCGCTCATACATAAGGGCTAAATACTATAAGTCTTTATACTTAAGGGTTAAATTTGCAAATACCTCAACGCAAGGATGTTACAGTAACAACCCATTAGTTTTAATCCTATTGGAATAATTATTCAAAGCCCAAATGGCCAGTTATCAGAAGCAGCGCCAATCCAAAAGATGAAGCGTGATAATAGAACTGGCGTGCGATGAGCGATGTCCAACTTCCAAGGTGCCATAACTCTTCAACAATGGATTTCTATAGAAAATCCAAACGTCTTCTTCGGATTCAAGAAGCAACGGTTATTCGATTTCTTTTATTTCTTATTCACATTTCAAGTGAATCGATTTCTCCGTCATCTTTTCTGATTTTGTCAACAAGTTGTTTCTCCGTCTTTTTAGTTTTCACCATATCATACTACTGATACTAGCATCGATAGTGAATCGAGAATCTTATTTCTATTTGCTTCTCCTTCTTTTCACGATTTCTGATGGCTGAAACTCAATTCTTTACCTTATTATTTTCGATTTGAAGTTTCCTTTTTTTTTGGAATAGCATAATAACACCAGACAGCCACTGTGATTAAGAATCGAGAATCACAGTCTTCTACTCTTATTGAAATTGAGAAGAAATCCTAAGTAGAATCTGAGTATCCCACCTTCTGATTGTGAATCTTTGTAAGTTCTACTTTCAAACCTTCTTAAAATTTCTTATTTTTCTGTTTTATTTTATTTTTTTATGAATCTTTTTTGAACTTTAAAATTTTATGTTGTGTAACTGTGTAGAATCTTAGAATATGAGTTTTTGACCTTCTGATTATGAATCTCAGGCATTCCTGGAATTTCTGTAAGTGCTTCTCGATATTTTTTAGAGATGATTTCTTATTCATTTTCTTAATTTCAATTTTTGAATGTTAATCTTCTTAATTTTGATTTCCATGTTATTCTGAACTTTAGGATTTTATGCTTGTGGTTTAGTTTTTTCAATTGTTATGTCCTTCCGCTCTTTGTTGGATTCCACACCGGTTACATTATTTAATTTCTTAGAGGTTATCCACAACATCATAGGCAACCAACAGTAGGTACAGAGGTATATGCATTGAGAAAGATTTGTTGGATAATATTGAACCAACAGTAGGCACAGAGGTATATGCGTTGAGAAAGATTTGTTGGACCATATTGAACCTAATGCTATAAGCCTATAACTGATGACTTTGTATCTAAGAAAGCTCGAAATTTTTTTTTTTTAGTTTTTGTTTGCTATATATATGTATTGGGGTTCAGAGCATGTCTGACATTTTTATTTTGTTGTTTTATATCAACAGATGTTAGGTTGTTTGGCTTTCGGGCTTGTCTGAATAATTTTTTCTTTCCATAGGTTGGGAAGTTGCCTACAATTGTATTATTCTTTTATAATTAATAAAACTTTTCGGAGGTGTCACCTTTTCTAAAAAAACAATTATATATATTTATTGCGAATGACCCAATTTTTTAATTTTGTTTCGGGCCTCAAATTGTCTTGGACCGGCCCTGGTTTTTACAAATGAGAAAGAACGACACATGATCCTGTGTTGGATGGATGCAGGGTCTCTATCGCCACTATAATTGTGGGATGTTTTATTGTTTCGGCCAGACCACGTCTTAGCGCGACTATTGGGCTAATGTGTTCCGGTCTCCGAACGAGTTGAAGACTTATGAGGGTTGTACACCACACCAACATGTAACTGAAAAAAAAAACTAAATTATATATTTTCAGCGTAAATATATCCTAATATCTTATCTCAGTAACAAACGAAACCTACACGTCTAATGATGATCACCTTGTCAAGAAAACGAGCTTAAAAAACAGATAATATTGAATCGAATATGCCAAAGTTTATTCTCAATTTATACAATCACCTGTAAAAAATATTTAAAATCTTTATCATCTATTACAATATATAAATATAAATATAAATCATATAATAATTGTATCCAATATCTACCGATGACAAAATATTTTCGGTGGCAGATAGAAGCGGAGAATAGGATAAAGCACCACCACCGTGTGTAGGGGCATCACTGCCACGTGATACACCGTGAATAGCACGAGGTGTTAGCAATCCTTCCAAGCTGCTGACACTTGTACTCTCCAAAACCGCCGTCTCATCTCTTCTCACTTCCGTTAACCAAATACCTAATCATTTATCCTGAACCACAAAACAAAACAAGACCCCATTCACAACCACATTTTAACGCCGTTAATACACATTCCCAAGTTTCCTCCTCACATTTCGTCGTCTTCCTCCTTCCCTCTGCTACATATATGTACGTGCACCTCCGTCTTTGGTGTTACACGATACGAAGAAATTTAAAGAGCTTGTACTTGTAAGTTGTAACGATTGAAAATGGCTAAGATTCCGATGAGGTTCAAGAGAATAACAGCTGCATTCGACGACGATGCTAGGGCACGGTTGTGCCAGAGCAGCGGAAGTGAGCATTCCGATCAGAACTCCGTGACGGACCTTTCAGATCTAGTTGACTCGTTCTTCGAGGCAGAAACCGATGATCGAGGTAAATCCTGCTGTGAAATTAAGGTTAGAGATCGTCTGGAGGAGTCAGAGGATCAGGAGGTGGAGAATTTTTATGGTACAGATTCGGAGACGAAGGAAATGCTGATCGATCTGATCGGTGATGGTACGGACGACGAAGATGACTGCGTGAAGCGTGCGATTCGTTCCGAGGTAGAAATAGCGTGCGGGAATTTTAAAATTACTTCATCAGAGGGTTTTAAGAGGCATCTGATGACTCTACTTCGACAGCGAGGGTTTGATACTGGTGAGAATCAATTCATAGTTCATACATCCTTTTAAATTTGCATTATGAATTGAACAACAATCGAATTGTGCAATTTTTTTTAGTTGAGATCCTTAATTATCTACTGTTACAGGTCTATGTAAGTCCAGATGGGAGAAAACCGGACGGCATCCCGCCGGAGAATATGAATACATTGACGTTCTGTTTTCCGGCAACCGTTACATTGTCGAATTATCACTCGGATCCGAATTCACAATCGCGCGACCGACTAAAACCTACCAATCGCTGCTGGAAATAATACCTAAAATCACAGTAATCAAACCGAACGAACTAAAGAAGATGATAAGACTAATGTGCGCTGCGATGAGAGCTTCTTTGAAAACGAGAGAGATGATGATTTCACCATGGAGGAAAAACGGGTACATGCAGTCGAAATGGTTCGGATCCTATAAACGAACAACGAGCGCCATTTCGTCGAGGTCAACAATGGTAGCGGCGTACGGCGACGGCGAGTTTAACGGGCAGAGTTTTTTAGGGTTTGAGTATTCACCGGCGGCGGCCATTGTTGGTAGTGGTTATTGCAGGAAGGAGGTTGAGAAAATGCATGTTGTTGGTAATCTGAAGACGTTGATGCTCAATGGCATGTCATAGTAATTACGATGTAAATCGGAGGGCGTAATCGTAAATAATTATAGATAATGGACTGAGTCATAATTGTAGACAAATAAGGATAATGTTTTATTTTATATTTTTTTATTGTCGTTGACTTGACAATGTGACATTTTCATGTTTATCTTGTAACTTTTTATCCGTTTTGCATTCTTTTTTTATATTTAAACTTTTTTCCATGGAATTTACTTGTTGGTTTTTGTTAATATTTTTTAATTTCAATATAAGGTTTTTAATAATATATTATCTTAGCGTATACGAGCAAATACATATATAATACATAAAAATTGCATCACATGTAGAGAGTTGTGACAAAACATACAGTGGAACACAAACAATATAACTAGGGGGCCGAATTATGGTTTTATGTAAGATGACTTAGCTTAATAAAATTAACTAAAAATTATGGTTTTATGTAAGATGACTTAGCTTAATAAAATTAACTAAAAATTATGTTTTGTTGTTCAAAAAAACTAAATTTTAAAATTCATCAATAATGGAGTGTTGTTTTAATGTTTATAAAAATATTAACTAGCATTAACAAATCAAAAAATAAAATAACATTTTAAAATTTTAGTCAATTTTCAGAAAAAAAAAAAGATAAAAGCTCAAATAAATAAATCAAATAAATCTAAGTGCGGAACACAAACAATACAACTAGGGGGCCGAATTGTGGTTTTATGTAAGATGACCTAGCTTAACAAAATTAACTAAAAATTATGTTTTGTTGTTCAAAAAAACTAAATTTTAAAATTCATCAATAATGGATTGTTGTTATAATGTTTATAAAAATATTAACTAGCATTAACAAATAAAAAATAAAATAACATTTTAAAATTTTATTCATTTTTGAGAAAAAAAAAAGATAAAAGCTAAAATAAATAAATCAAATAACATTTAACAATCAATATATAGATTTTTAAATTTTAAT